ATCTATCTATCTATCTATCTATCTATCTATCTATCTATCTATCTATCTATCTATCTATCTATCTATCTATCTATCTATCTATCTAATTTGTGTGTGTGTGTGTGCGTGCGCGCGCATGCCACTATAATAATGAAAAGTACAGGACACAATGTCTTCAGTTGATAAATGACCACAAGAAATACAATATAGACAAACAAATACAAGCAAAACTAAAAGTGAAAGATTTTAGTGCATTACATAAAATCTAAGATAGGCAAAAAATGTAATCCAGAATTTTTGCTTTTGAATGATTTGACAAAGCTAAATCACCCAGTATAATTTAAATGTCTTTCTTTCAAAATATTAACCTTTATAAAGTGAACAAGATCAAATTTTAATTACAATCCTGGAAATTACTACAGCAAATATGTAGTAACATGAAGATTTGCAAAGAATCATATTTTGTCCTCATGTTTTGTTACTTCCTTTTTATGTGTAACCATGGGAAAACTGGAGTCGTTCTCTTCACTTTTCATCTAAATACATATCCTTTCTACATTTCATAAAATATATTATTAGCTCCAGCTTACATTATTTGAGCTGGTGACTCCTAAGGAAGTGGGCAGAGCTTTCTGTGCTGTCAGTTTAGTCACCTGGATCCTGGCCCCTACTCAGCTGTAAAAGCAGCTGGGGAGGTGAACCACAATTGGTTCACAGCAGTCCATACAGCAGAATTGGCTCCTTTGACAAGGAAGTGCACCCAGCCTTGAAACAGGAAGTGATGTGCCTCGCCTCAAGAAGTTATCCTTGAACCCAGTAATTTTTGATAATTAGTTAATTATCAGTCATGAAACTCCCATTCCTTGTGAAGCTTGTTGAGAAGATGGTCAATCAGCAGGTGAGAAGAATCCTGGAGGAAATGTATTATCTAGACATGGGTTTCAGGCTGAGATTTCTTATTGAGACAGCTTTTATCATATTAATGACCTCTGCCAGAGCTGGGATGATGATTGTACCTTACTCTTCTTGGTCTCTTGGCAAATTTGATATAGTCAAATACAGTATACTTCTGAGCTAACTCTGTCTTACAGTGGTTCTCTTTCTTTCTTTGGTGCCAGTTCCAGTCAGTTAGTGGCAAAAAGAGATTGTTCACTATGTCCCTTACTTAGGGGATGTTGTAATCACTCTTCCCTCCTTTTCAACATCTTTATGAAATGGCTTCATCTGCTGGTTTGGTATAATTAATATGCCGATGATATCCAAGTATATCTTTTGATCCTGGATTGGCCAAGTGAGCCTGTCAGATTCAGTCCCAGAACTTAGAGGCTATGTGGGTTTGAATGGGGAAGCATTGTCTCCAACTCAGTCGTACCAGAACCAAGTGTTTGTGCATGTTTAACAGATGTGGTATATTCCAACATTGATCTTTTAAGCAGTCATTCATATTCTAATTACCCCCACAGTTTGTCTAAGGCAACACATAACAGATTCACATGGAACTACTCTTGAAGACCACCTGGAAGTTTCAGCAGGCCCAGAATACAGCTGCACAGACAGTGATGAGCATGCTTTGGTTTTACCATATTACATCTCTGCTTTGTGAGCTGCACTGGGTATCTTTTTGCTTCTAGGTGTGATTCAGAGCACTGACTGCCATCTATACCACCCTACATGGCTTTGGCTTTGGTTACTTAAGGGACCACATGTCTCTTATAACCATGTGTTCAAGCAGTTCTGGCAGGATTGGTGGGATCTGCATTCCACTGATCAAATAACACCATTTATTGGGACCCAGAAAGTGGGTCCCAATTAATGACTCTTTGTAATAGTGCCTGCCTTCTGGAATGAGGTCTCCTCCTTGAAATTAAAATGTTCCCACTCTAATTAAAGTTCAAATGACTTTAAAATCCTGGGTCTTTGCCCAGGTCTTTGGGGAGGATTGTTATCTATTGTAAACTACTTAGAGTCAAGAAGCATACAAATATAACAACAACAACAACAACAACAACAACAACAACTCTGGCCATTGAAACTACATGGCTATGCATGAAGCATGTAACAGTGATACCCATTGTCATCGGGGCACTTGGCNTATTTAGGCAGATAACGCGGCCAGGAACCCGGGGGCAGCTCGTTAAGCTGCTGCCATCAGCAAGGTCCCGCCCCGGAACGACTTCAGAAGCTTTGATGTCTGCCTCGCAGCCGCTGGAAAAAAAGGCTTCTCCTGATCAACTAGGGACTTTGTGATGTCCCGGATCAGCAGGATGTGCCTTTCTCTATCACTGTCTCTATGGGATGGTTTAGGTCCAAAAGGACCATCCAGCGGCAGAGATATAGACGGCGATCTTGGAGCTGCAAGATCGCACGGCATATCACTGCGACATCAGCTCCGCCTCCCAGTTTTCAACTGTTGCTGCTTAATGCCAAATTGGTCAATAACAAGGCTTGTCTTATTAGTACTCTCTTAATGAAGAGCAGGCTAACCCGGTATTTATTATCAATGCACTCTTAGAAATGTACCCAACCACATTTTTTATTTGGTATCAGCTGAGGTCCCCCAAGGCAGGGAAGGAGGATTAACAATTCTGTTGGATCTGAGGTAACAGAAGAGTCCTCTGAAATGTAAACACCGTGACATGTGCATTAGATCCAATCTCCTCCTGGCATATTAAGACACCCAGGAGGTATCATTTGGGTGGAACCAAGTGCTGGAGCAATTCTATTTCCTTTTGAAGAAATACTGGTATGACCCCTCTTCAAGAAGCCATCGCTGGACCTACCATTCTGGACAACTTCATGGATATGGGACAGAAACAGCATTGGTCACATTCATGAATGATTTCTGGCAAGAGCAGGATGAAGGTGGTGTATCCATCCTTGCTCTCCTTAGCCTCTTTTATACCATTGACTGTAGTATCTTTTTGGACTAACTTAGTGACTTGAGGATGGGCAGCAGACTTTTGTGCTGGTTCATCTCATTCCTCAAGGTTGGTCCCAATCGGTGCTGATAGAGAACAAGAGGTTCAGTTCATGGCTCCTTCTTTGTAGTGTGCCACAGGACTTAATGATTTTTCCATTCCTTTTTAATATCTACATGAAACTACTGGGTGAGATCATCCATATCAAAAAATATTGTGATGATAGCCAGTTATATATCCATCTCAGGTGAAGTGAGTAAAGCTGTGGGCATTCTTTCACCATGCTTAGAGGCTATGGGGGCCTAGATGGGCATAACATACTCCAGGTGAATCCTGGTAAAGTAGAGTGGCTATTGGTGGACCCCACTGAATCCAAGAGTATATCATCTTTGGTCTTGGATGAAGTTGCACTATCCCCAATAGACCAGGTGCATAATTTGGAAGTCCTCCTGGACTCAAGGTTTAAAGCAGCTGGCAGCCAGACATGGAAGTTGGAGGGATGTCTTTGTCCCACTTTCTGTTGTATGCTAGTTATACTCTTTCTGAATAGGGAGCCTCTCCAGTTAGTCACTCATGCCCCAGTTATCTCCCACTCGAACCTATTGCAATAAGATCTACATGGAGATATGTTCTATATTGAAAAGTATCTAGAAGCTTCAATAGATACAAAATGAGGTCATGCCAGAAATTAAATTTCATTTAATACCTTTTGCTCTGCTAGTTTGTTTCTGGGTCCAATTCAAGGTGTAGGGCCAGGCTACCTATAGAACCATCTTCATCCCATTACATCTGCCTTCCTCATCCAATCGGGCATGTTGCAGACCACGTTAATTGAAGAATTCCGACTGGCAGGGTCCAGGAATAGAGGTCTCTCTGCCATTGTTATTGCCCTGTGGAATATTCTATACTCTGAGATGAGGAAGGTCCTCCCCACTTTCTTAGCCTTCTGAAAAGGAGTGAAAACATGGCTCTGCAGCCTTGCAGGGGGAGCCCAGAGAAGCACATTATTGAAAGCTCTCCATTTGCCTTTCAATTAATTTTTAACAGTGTTTTACTCATACTGCCTATATTTTAATGTATACCACCCAAGGTCCCTCTGTGATGGGGATGGGCAATTTAAAAATGTGATAAATAAATATATTTTACAACATATTATAGATAACCACAAAATCCTTAGTTTTCATTAGATTGCTCCATGCAATTAAATAAAAACCACAATTTTCAGTAAATACTTGAAAATAAATGCTTAAGCTATCATACATTTAAAATATTATACCTGCTTCACTCACTTCGCCTGCCCCTTCTCAGGTGGTTCCAGGCAGCATTTATTGCAATAACAGTGTTTTTGGATGGCAGCACGGCGATCTTGGCCACCAGGAACTGCCTGAGAAGGGGCAGGTGAAATGGGAGCTGTAGAGATCACAGTAACAGCATTTTCAGATGGCAGCATGGCGATCTCAGCCACCTGGAAATGCCCGAAGGGCAGGTAAAGCAGGCGCTGCATGAGAGATGTAAGGCAAGGTGGCTTGCTGCTGGCCTTCCCCTTCTCCAAACAACCCAGGTGGTCGGCTTCTGCTCCTGGCCCAGGAGATGGATCCGATCAGGAGGAATGCATGCCCTGCTTTTGCAATTGGAGAGGAAAAAGAGTGTTTCAGGTGGTGGGCAGTTCCAGGCTGCAGGGATCGCAGTGCAGACTGGAAGTGCCCGCTGCCTGAAATGCTCTTATTCCTCAATGATTGCAAAAACAGGACATGCATTCCTCCTGGACAGATTCATCTCCCAGGCCAGGAGCAGAAGCCGACCACTCTCTGCCTGGATTGTCTGGAGAAGCAGGAGGCCAAGCGGCGCGCCACCTTGTCTTACACCTCTTGTGCAGCGCCCGCTTCATCTGCCCTTTCTCCAGATGACCCAGGCAGCTACATTTGGAGTATAAGACACACCCAGATTTTCATTCCCTTTTTTTTTGGGGGGGGGGGGAGATACGTCTTATACTCTGAAAAATACAGTACATAAAGTGTCAGCCCTGGAGGCCATCTTTTTCTTTGAATCTTCAGGGCTGCCACACTTTGTAGATGGGCATGCTATGTGAAATGGGACAGGGTTGGATGGGGAGTGGGGAAATGTATAGCAATAACAACATTCTTTTCCTGGGAGCCAAGGGCATTCAGCCTTCACCTGGAGAGGCATGACTGTTAGGATGGTGACCTGATTGGACCATGTGATGGACATGTGGGTGCAGGGGAAGGGACTTTGACTTTCCTGTGGGTGCAGGGGAAGGGACTTTGACTTTCCTTTGGATGGGGAAAACCCAGGAGACTTTCAGATTCACGTTTTCCCAGATGTGCCAATATGACATCTCTAATAAAATGGAACTTTGAGGAAATGCCTGCCTCAGAGCCTTACTTCTGTTGGTGGTGTTACTTGGAACCCTGACATACCCAAAGATTGTACATACCCAAAGATTGCACATACCCAAAGATTTCTCTATGCATAACAATGAAATACCCACGTATCATATGGCAATATAATTTATGATTTAGCCTCATGTACTATTAAGAAAGCATACATCTTCATCCATATTTTGTACATTGGTTAAGTAAACTGGGTCTTGCATCTATAAGTATGGACTACCAATTTCTAACAACTTCCTATTTACAGAATCATGCAAAAATCAACCAAATGTTGATCAATTGGTGACAAAAGAAATTTATTGACCAGCTTTCCATTTGAGCCTAATACCACAGACTATGAGAGAATAAGTGGCCAATGTATTCATAGTCTCCTGTTTTCCAGCCAGGTGTCTTAATTACTAGATCAAATTAGTTCTCCTCTGAAATACTTTGAATGTACCAAATACATAGTATTGCAAATAAAGACCTTTTTAAAAAGTATGAAATTTTGTGATTTTGAATGTTTAATTATAAAAACTACTATTTAGTGTAAGTTAACTCACAAAAATGTTACATCCGTACCTATTTCCACGTAACGGCTAGGTAGATCCCGCATTTCACTTGCATGCCGTTCTTTCACTGAACATATCTATTAAGAAAATCATATTAATTATAATTACTTATTTTAGAAAATAGTGTGAGATCATACTGATGTATTGGCAAAGGTGCCTAACTACAGAACTGTTAAGATTATAATTTCAGTAAACATTACAATTTAAGAGACCAATCCTAGAAGAAGCAGATTAGCAATTCTGTCAGACTGTAGTGGTAAAACTGACAAAAAATCCTTTGCCATTTTGAAATCTACCAAATTTATGCTGTTTGTAGTTCTGTAGAAATATTTTTGCCCCAGATGCATCCAAGAAAGATTTTTGTCTATGGAAAGTGATAGAACTATGATTCTTTACTTATTTTTATTTTTGCCACAAAATAATTATTTCCATGTTTTTAGCAATGTTTTAAATTCATATGAATATATGTTTTGGTTGGTCAAGAAAAGAAGCATTTCAATATATGTAACATCATACAACTTGAGATTTGAGAAGTTTATTTATATGCCGCCCTTTTCCCTGGGGGGACTCAGGGCGGCTTACAACTCGAAAAGGGGGGGGGNGTTGCTAAGATCATTCACTGGAAATTGTGCCAAAAGTTTGGATTTGAGTACAGCAAAAACAACTGGGAACATCAGGTTGAGAAGATTCTAGAGAATGAAAAAGTCAAGATCTTGTAGGATTTCAGAATTCAGACTGACAGGCACTTGGTCCACAACATACCTGATATAACAATAGTTCAAAAGAAAAAAGTTTGGTTCATTGACATTGCAATATCTGGTGATGCGCAAATTGAAAATAAGCAGCAAGATAAAATCACAATGTACCAGGACTTGCAAATTGAAGTTGAGCGACTGTAGAAAAAGAAATCGTTTGTTGTCCCAATTATAATTATAGCCCTTGGAGCAATACCTAAAGGGCTACCTCGCTATTTGGAAATTCTAAATTTATTGGACTTGAACATTCTGATTCTACAAAAAACTACCCTACTTGGAATAACTTATATCCTCTGAAATTATTTTAATGGTTCTAGGTCCTTGGTTAGGACTCAAGCTGTTGAGCTACCAACCTGTCCCAAAGGAAGCTGGATCTTGACATATAGGCTTTGTTTAAAAAGAAAATAAAAGAGACTGAAAAAAAAGAAAAATCACCACAACAGCCCACAAGAGGGGCAATAAGGGGAAAGACAGAGGCAGGCTATGACATTGGGGAAGAAAAGAACGAGAAAGACAAGGGAAGATAGAATTGGAGCTTCTTGCAGCCATCTACAGGGCTGTGGGCGGGAGCTGGGTGGGGGCGGGATGCGAATAGTATCAGATTGAAGTGGATATGCAATCCACTGTCTCTTGAGCACACACATCATTGAAGTAGTAATAGGTGAGAAAAATAAACAAGCACTTTTAAAAAAAGCTTTCAATTGAATTGAAGAGTTGGAAGGGACCTTGGAGGTCTTCTAGTCCAACCCCTTGCTCAGGTAAGAAACCTTGGGCCTATACCATTTCAAACAAGTGGCTGTCCAGTCTTATCTTAAAAACCTCCAGTAATGAAACTCCTACAACTTCTGAAGGCAAGCTATTCCACTGGTTAATTGTTCCAGCTGTCATGAAATTTCTCCTTAGTTCTAGGTTGCTTCCCTCCTTGATTATTTTCTATCCATTACTTCTTGTTCTGTCTTCAGGTCCTTTGGAGAATATTAGTTTATTTGATAATTGATGTTTTATCTCATTTGCAAAGGGGAACTGTTCTATCTTCCCTCAAAATTCCCATTTCGTCTGTATATCTTGATGTCAAGATATGCAAATTGAGGTTCCTGCGTAAGGTTTTGAATTACATGGAATGATGAAGGCTGTTTGAAGACCAAAGCTTTGAGTTACATGGAATGATGGAGGCTGTTTGAAGATTGAAAGTAAAGTCTTTTGTAGCATCTTTTTTGGCCTAAGATATTAACATTGCTCTGGCTTTGATTTGCCTCCCCTTATTGCTCTTAAATTTGTTTCTGATGGGTACCTCTATGTGTTTGATAAGCTGAGTGTAGTTGATTCTTTCCTTACTTTTTGGCACTGTGAGCAGTGTAATAGATGCAGTGCCAGAATTCAGAGACTCGGAGAAGTAATAAAAAGAATAAATGAGCATTCACACACCCCATCAGCAGAGCATATGGAAGTGGTATGTTTCCTGACCAGCATGAAATGACGGGCAGAGGAGACAGTGGAAGACACATCTGAAATTATCTGTGTTTGGCCAATGTGAGCCCAGCTGTCTCAATAAAATCAATGGATGATTTATCCATTAAGTTGCCAGGAATCCAGATTGACTAAACGATATACATAGTCTAATGTATGTTTCTTGAATATGCAGTGCTCACCTTTGATATTTTACAATTTAAAATATTATGTTTATTGTATTAAATAAGATTTTGGGAGGGAAGGAAGGATTACTTTGCAACATTCGCTTCATAAGAAGCTTTTCCCCTAATTTCTATTACAGTAGCTAAAGACAGACCAGTTTGCAAATTGTTATGGAGGAAACAGTGAGGGGGAAAAATCATCATAAATACCCTGAATCAAGGCCAGTGAATGGACATAGAATGAATAAGCACAACTCATGAAAATCTATATGTAATAATTATTCAACTGTTAAACTGATTTTTTGCTTAAGAAAAAATGGAGTGTGGTTATTTAATGTACAACCACAAGGTGGTACCAAAAGACAATCATTTTGAAACAAGTTCAAAATTAGTCACACTAAATTAGATTAGAGGAAGTTGATTAAAAAAAACAACATGCTTGCATTGTTAAAGAAACAGAAATTGGCAAGTTTTCACCATTTACCTAAAATACTATATATTAAATATATCAAAATACTATATATTATACTTGATTTATATTGAATGCAGCAAAACAAAATCATTTCAATATTAAATCTATTTAATGCTTTTCATCAAATGAATGATGAATAGACTACTGTAAAACAAGAATACAGAAGGAAGCTAAAAAACTGGGAGCTAAAAATGTGTGTTATGCAAAACTGATTACTGTTATTATTTCAATGGCACTTAGTTGTGTAATTATATCATAGACATCACAAGAAAACATTTCCCAAGGAAGGGTGGATAGATCATATATTCAGTTTGGGATGTGGAAACAATTTGTATTCAGAACAGAGTTCTATACATTTTATTTTCTTTTTGTTAATGAGCCAGTTTGCTTCTTTTTGGGGGGAGGGGTGGGAGGCATTATTCTGATTTTATATATTTGGCAATTTCGCATGATTTCTCAATTTTTTTCTCCATATTTTGAAAAATACAACTGCCTTATGGCAAATTATATTAAATTAAATCAACAATGATCCTTCAGTCTTTTCAGCCTTACTTGCAGAAGGGAGAGATAAAATCTGGAATATTAAATTTGTATTTGTCCAGTTCCAAAAACCCTGGACAGCCCACAAGAAAGACATAATGACTCTCCCCAAATACAATGATAAAAAAGAATAAACACAGAAAATAAACATAAAAAAATCAGAGATTGTTTCCACTGAGCTATAACTCTTCTTCATCTTGGATGAACATTTTATAGAAATAGTGGTATAGTTTATTTATTTATCTTATGGTATATCATACATGAACTAACAAGATAACAACTAACTTTTCAACTAGATTAGCAAAACACAATAAAATATAAAAGTTAAAAAGGTCTATAGTTAAATATCACATCTAGGACATCTAGCCATTAAGGTACAGCAATGTTTATATTAAAAAAAATAAGATACTGGACTGATATATACCTCAGCTTACAGAGAGTCATAATATGATCTATACCTGGATTTTCTTTGAGGGGGAGAGATGGGATGGACGTCTCCTGCAACACCCTGTCTGCCCGAACAGGGCACATGGGGGCTACACACAGCCCACCTGCACTCTGTTTTGGCCGGGAGAGTGCTGCAGGAGATCGTCCAGGCTGGAAATGGGATATGGGGGGCTGCATGTGGTTCCCACATATCCCATTTGGCTGCCAAAGGCACTGCAGGCTGGTCCCAGGTTGGCTCCAGGGGCCATATTTTAGCACCCCACAGGCCAGATCCAGCCTGCGGGCCTTGAGTTTGACACCCCTGATCAATAGTTTGACAGGGGACCCTGCAATTACAGAGGGGAGGATACTGTGTCCCATTTATATGCTGGCAAACTCTGTGTGAAGTGCGAATCCTATTCAGGGTTGTCCATTGTTGACATGTAGTTCAAAGTCTGTCACTTTTTTATGGGGTTATATATTTTCCAACATCTGGCCTTCAGTGACCCATTTGGCTTTCCATTAAGAATCAATGTAAACATTGCAGGGCAGATGCTGGGCAAGTGCCAGTGGGGGCTTCCTGGATTTGAGTCTTCCAGCTGATAAATGAATAAGATTGGCAGGCATTGGTAGGAATGAGTTGTTCATAATTTTTCAGGATTCTTTCACTAGTGCATCTTGCCTTAATAAAGCTGGCAGTGCTATATGGCTCAGAACAGAAAGTCAGCAAGTTGGAGTGGTTTTAATACAACCATATATAATCCTCATGGCATCATTGAGTCTGGCACCTAATTTATTAGTATGGCAACTGTTAAGCCATACAGGGGCATGTTATTCTGCTGTGGAGTAATGGTCAAAGTTCTTGAGAAAAACACACAGCAAAAAGTGGTTCCCTCATCCCAGTGCTTCTTGCAAAAGAATGGTTCACATGAGAGGCAACAGCCTGGATGATAAAGCTCTTGGACAATGTTGAAGGAGGGTTTTACACACGAAGAGTTGTTTTAATTCCTCAAATATAGTTTGCTATGGGTGTATCCAAGCAAATTTGACTTTTTCAATAGCTGTGTTATGAGTTCACTTTATGGGCAAAGCATGGGATCAAGTTTTGTCTAATAGTTCACAAAGTTTAAGAAGCTCTGAATGTCTTTACTGTAGCTTTGTGGAGTGGTTTGTCACTCAAGCACTGCTTGGACTTCTCAGGGATTCATTTGACATGTGACAGTCCAAGAAATCTAGCTGCTTCAAAAGAAAATTACATTTTTCTATTTTAGCAAAAAGGCGATTTCCCCTCAGTCTACTCAAACTTCCCATACATAGTGGTTGTGCTTTAGTGTAGATCAAGATGTAATCTAAATAAAATATCACAAACCTGTCAGTCACAAGAAAAAAAATCTGATTCATAAATCTTGAGAAAAGTAATCTGCAATTAATAAATCTTAATGGCCTTACAGTGTATTTCATCTTAATGTACCTGGTAACAAATGCAGTTAAATTTTTTTGGCTATCCTAAAGCCCAATGAGATTGTGCCCATTGTAAAGATCCAACTTGATAAAAATGAATGTGATTTGTAATCTATCCAGCAAGTCTGATAATAGGAGTAAAGGATAATGATTCTTCACCTTCAGCAGAAACCGGTAACAGAAATTTTGAGTGGTTCAGAGGACCGGTAAATACTACCTCTGACTATTCTCTGCCTCCTGAGTCCCAACTGATCAGGAGGAAATGGGGATTTTGCAGTATCCTTCCCCTAGAGTGGGGTGGGAATGGAGATTTTATGGTATGCTTCCCCTGCCATGCCCACTAAGCCATGCCTACAAAGCCATGCCACACCCACCATGCCACAGAACCAATAGTAAAAATTTTTGAATCCCACCACTGATCTAGCTGCCCTATTTAAATGTGCTCCTCCTCCCCTTGTTCCATCTCTGTTTGCATTAGGGACCAAATAGTGAGGTTGACACATTGTCTGCAATAATTGGAGCAGGCTTGAATTTCTTTCAAAGGTGAGTCAATAATAATGCAAAGCTGATAGTTTTGGTCTAAAGTCTGTGGAACTCATTGTCTGATGAATTCATCAGTGATTCGGTTATTCAGAATCTGTCTGAATCCAGCCACCACAACTGCCATGTTCCAATCCAACTATTGGGACCAACTTAACTTCTGCTATATATTCTGGACTCTTTCTATCCTTGTAGTTTATCAATCCAGCATATGCTATAATCTCTCATACTAAATCCCCAAAGAGACCCATGAAATTTGCCATTAGCTTCTGATAGTCATCCTAATAGGATCATTATGTTCAATGATGAAGAGTGCCCATTATGATACTGAAGACCTGAGGAGACTTAGTACAAAAGAGGTTGGAAACGCTGCTGCTTTGTGTCCCCATAAATAACTCACATTGTGCTATGGAGCTTCTCATCTTTTCTGACTTTCCTCCAAAACTTTCCATCAGGCTGCTATGAGTTCGCTGTAAAACAGGCTGCTGCAGATATGGGATCTGGGATTATCAGTAGCAAGAATTTAGAGTGAATCAAATTCTGCATTTGCTGGACCAACTAAAGCATCATAGCTGATATTATGTACACCTTGTAGCTTGGTCACATACTGCTCCAGCCTGCAGATCGGTGTTTATTATGCCATTCTGGTGTTTTTCATTGCAATTTGTTAAAAAGTGGGATTGAATTGAAAATATGAATGTCAGGCATGAAAGAGGAGGACCATACATGAAGTTCTAATGAAACAGATTTACTCCTCATGCCTATGCACAGGAATATTCTCCACAGTTAGCATTTGTTAGAAGTTAGATAAGGATCAATAGAATTTACAGTGGCTTGGACTCATTACATTTGTGGCTATGTAGCAGCTGTCAGATTCGTAAAAGTGATACTGCCATTCAATTGGGAGGAGGGGAAGCTCGGAATTAAATCATTTGCTACATCTGAAACAACTGAGTTTTACAACTTTACAACTGGTTTCCTCTCACCGGAAGACTGAAGGCCCCAGCATCTCTGGAGGGATGTTTATGGTAGCCATGTGGGATATATATAACTTTGATGTCTAACTAGAGATAGCCATGGGAACGTGTGCCAAGGTGGCGCAGTGGTTAAATGCAGCACTGCAGGCTAGCAGTTCAGCTGCTAGATCAGCAGTTCAGCGGTTCAAATCTCACCGGCTCAGGGTTGACTCAGCCTTCCATCCTTCCGAGGTGGGTAAAATGA